AGATTTACAAAGGAAAATGAACGTTTTGGACGAAGAAAAGGATGGCATTTGGCGTAAAATGGATGTGGAAAACAAATCATCTCGGAGTTGGTCACCACCTGCAACATTTCCGCTGACCGGTGTCGTAGTTCCTGAGGAAATTCACATGGACGCGCGAACAAATGGAAAAGGGTAGGGAATTTGCGATTCAAAGGTTAAAGGAAAATCGGAAAACTGCTCTTGCTAACTAACTGTTGGCAGATTTTGAGAACGAAAAACAAGTGCCTACTGAAGTTGTGCAGTTCCATGAGCTATTTGTTAAGATGCAAGAAGCACATCATAGGTATCTCAGGGCCTTGGATGATGATGGTGAGATAAAATTACCTCAGCAATGGTATAACAGTCGTGATAAGGTTTGTGTTTCGTATTAAAGCAAAGTGTTATCTGGGTGAGACAAAGAAGTTGCGTGGTGATTCGCATGATACACGCACAGGTTTCTCAACATCATCCGCTAAGTTAAAGTTGATTGAAACAAAGGCTAAGGCGGCAGCGTTAGAGGTTAAGGCAAAATTCTTAAAGGAGAAGCAAACGCTAAGAATAACCTCCGTGGAGCTTGAACTTCGGCAGCAAATTTCAGAGGCAAAGGCTGAAGAGAAAATTTATGAGCAGTTTGACGAAGAACAAATCATTCATGAGGACGTAAAGACAGCAGAGTGGCAATAATTCTTAATAAAGAAACCACAACTTTTAGTTTGCAAGACATGTTTCGACATTCTTATGTCATCTTCAGTTGTAAATGCGATTTTAACGGTTGTACATTTGAATTTATATGAGATTACGTTACAAATTACGTCATATTGTTTACGTTACAATTTGAATATTAAATACGAAAAAACGTGACATAGCACGCGCCAGATGGGGAAAGAAGGAGAAAAGAAAAATAATGATCATAATAAGAAAAATTATTATGATGACAGAATCAAAAGGAAAGAGACAACTCTAGATGCTTCAATTGCTGATTAAGGATGGGTTTGTCCCACTTAATATGCAATGCCTCTTTGATCTTAATTTTGTATTTCGAAGCGGCAGAATCTAAAATGGTGAAACATTCTGTACCACAAGAGTCGAGACAGGCCTTTGATGATTGTAGGTGCTTGTAAATGTGTAAAGTTTTGTCAGACAAGAGGTGCTCACGAACCCGTGTACAGATGTGGCGAGTGGTCTCACCAATATAACTGGCATTACAGCCAGCACACGAAAATTTATAAACGACACGCGAACGTAGACCTGGTGGTACTGGATCTTTCACACTGAACAAGTTTCTGAGCTTAATGGCATGGCATGAATGATTATTTGAAAGATGTAACAGCTAATCTCACTTCTATTCCCATCTTATTTGAGGCACAACCTAACGGTCAGTGTACACTAAAGGTGCCTTCTGTGAAATTCTAAAGTTCAGCTGTAGTCAGCACCATTTCAACGACAACTTCTGTCACCACGCCCATCTCAGTCAGTGCTGGTACTATGAAACCAACTGCCCAAACGTTTAATCCAAGGAACCTTCCCATTAAAGAAGAAATTGAAAAAGACAATGGGACTCCCACTGACACCACGCTATCTTATGACGATCAGAAGGGATATACGTACGTTTACAGAGAGGATGCAAGCCTTGTAGAAAGTACAAGACCAGATCAAGACTATACTGACATTGAAAGGAAACAGGCAGAACTGTCAGAGATGATTGTTACAAAACAGCCAGAAGTCTCTTACCTAGCCATAAGCCGCCTATGTTCTCTGGAGATGTGATGTCATACTCATCATTCATAGCGGGTGTCTGGAAAGCTAAGACCTAAGACCTAAGACCCGGAAAACTAAGACCCTGGTTTTTTTTAGGGGAAATCATCAAATTTCCGCTTCCTTTACCTTTATAAGGTAAAATGAATAAAATAAATGCACTCACACTTAAAAAATAACAATTTAGCTAGCCTCTTCCAGACATTCAGTTTATAGTTGAGGCGCAGCGCGGAAGACGGGGTGCGAGAAAAAATAAAAAAAAGCGCGGCGAAAAGGGGCTAAAGTATGGCAAACGAAACTATTTCCGGTTGTCGCAGTGTGGCGTTATACTGTGTACTAAAGTTTGCGAAAAACAAATGAAGCGAAGCAATGCTTTGTCTACTTTGCCAGACGGTAATTTTCGAAAAGGTGCTTTGCGTCTTTCGTTTTGTTACCTCCATATTATCACTAGAACGTATTACTTTGAAGCTATTTACTAACAAATATTCTTTCATATCGTTCTGATAACTTTCCCAATTTCCGGTCTGATGACTTCGTCGGCAGAAGTACGTGGCGCCTTGGTGCCAATGCTTTGCTTTTGGCCAATGCTTTGCTTTGCTTGGTTAGGTATTTAAAAAGTAGCAGTTACCATTTTTTTAAGTTTCTTTTTTTCTTTTGTCGTACGCTCACCCACTCCACAACCTCGGCGAATTGTGACCCAGTTATAGTCACTCAAAGTTTCCGTCAGTAAACAATACGAAACTAGTAGAATTTTATTATTCATGATAATTTGATGGCCATTTGGACACAACTAGCTTTGCGATATTACACGCAAAATCATAAATAAAAATAGAAAAGGATCATTCAACTACTTATCTGTCGCCTCTTTCTGGCGTCTGTCGGGAATCGAATGGCAGCAAGGCCATCAGATAAGTGATATTCTTTGCCGGTGGAAATTATTGGTTTTATTCATTAGCCTGCCATAAATGTAAGTCTATATGTCAAAAGTTATATAACCCAGAAGCACTCGAGAAAATAGGTGTTGAAATAATTATTTCACAAAAAAAAGTTATTTGACCTCTGAAGTTCCGTCACGGCTGCTTTCTATCGCGCGTAACACTTTAACGGTTTGATATTGTCAAGAACGTTTGAAAATCGGCCAGCCCAGAACTGAAATTTCAAACTGTTTCGTGGTACTAACATTTTTTTTTTATATATGTGACTAATTCTTGTTCATCCTTGAGTGTTTTATGAAGAAATCACGCGAGCGATGCATTTAAAGCTAACAAAAAATCGCTCTGGTTCCTTAAGTCGCACTTACATCCAGGTAACTTATCAGGATATAGATTAATGTTGTCTTTTGTTTCGTGACCAATCAGAGGAAAGTCCAGATTCTGGACTTTTTACCACATTAAAAAAGACGACTGAAGAAGCTTTTCTTTCTTTCTCCCGCCGATAGGAGAGAACGGGGCATCGGTTACTACTGACCAAAATGGGCTAGCCTTTTAATCGCGTTCAACGATGTCGAATTTCCGGAAGTTTTGTCTTCCTCGACTTCTTACAAGGAGGCCTGATTCTCGTAATGACGGGATAGCGCAGTTTGACAGCACAGCATGATCTCGAGACCGAAATAACGATTATCGTTATTTCTAAATTGGTACC